CTTGATATATTGCATCTGAAACACCAGAAACGGACCATCCTGTCGTACGCTCTTCATTTTTCCTAACTACTTTTTCAGCCCACTCCGTTAGCACTGTTGACCGTTGCCCTGTAAAGAACATATATATAATTAACTTATTATTCGACATAATTAAAGTCATACCTCCTTCGATGCGACGCTTGTTACACCATTCCTGTGAAAGACGACGGAAGAACTCAAGAAGGGGTACTATAGGCATCTTCCTTGCATCTACAAATAAAGCATTCATGGACTCTGCACTGTTCGAGGTCATGTAATCGTACCGTATCGACGGGGAATATGCTCTAGCCCATTTAGCACGTGGAATTTCACTTAGATACGCCGCTACTTGCGGCCTAGTAGTACTAAATCTATACCACAAATCTTCAAAAACATTTCTTTTGTAAGCTCTCACAAGCCTCCAAAGCAACACTTTTGTTTTATCATTTTTCCCAAACCTGTGTACTATGTTTCCTAGTAGATGAAAAGCACATACGCCATGATGAGCATGTGGGAAAACATTTTCAGTACTAACCCGAATTGCATCGGCCCTATCAGTTACAAACGCCAAATCTTGACAATCACCAGCGCATTCATACAACTTTTCAAGAAACCATGTCCAAGTAAGACCACTCTCTTTTTTGCATATTCTGTACGCAAGGGGCACTGTCTGGTTGTTCTCATCCATAGCGACTGCATGCAATATGGTTCCCTTAAAATCACCCTTCAAATTGGCACCATCCATAATTATAACTTTACGAAAAAAACATTTGAATGCTCGTATCTGCAATATATTAAAATGGAACACATAAACACTATAAATTTTTTTACAAATAATTATATATTAAATAACAAGTTTTTTGTATTTACCGTGCTCCCAATGGCATAAAAACAACACTCGAAACAATCTTCTGAATCTGTTTGTATATAGGCCACTGTACCGGGATTATACCTCTTCAAATTATGAAAATAAATAGGAAGTTTGGAAAAACATTCTTCAGAGGATCCCAACAACAGTTCCATAGCATATTGTTTTGCACGCCAAGCTTGTTTGTAATTTACATTGATTTCCAGCAAAGCATTCAAATCCCTTGATATTTCATTAGGCCTCCAAACCTTGGAACGAGTTTTTCCCATAATCTCATGCAATATAGTACCTCATGACTTTATTTATTTGCGTGTTTATGATTTGGGTGTATCTATAATGACGAACATGTGTGCACGTTGTTGAAAGTCCTGATTTCAAATTGATCAGTGGGATCAATGCGTTTTGCATATAAACGCCTATCAGTTACAAACGCCAAATCTTGACAATCACCAGCGCATTCATACAACTTTTCAAGAAACCATGTCCAAGTAAGACCACTCTCTTTTTTGCATATTCTGTGCGCAAGGGGCACTGTCTGGTTGTTCTCATCCATAGCGACTGCATGCAATATGATTCCCTTAAAATCACCCTTCAAATTGGCACCATCCATAATTATAACTTTACGAAAAAAACATTTGAATGCTCGTATCTGCAATATATTAAAATGGAACACATAAACACTATAAATTTTTTTACAAATAATTATATATTAAATAACAAGTTTTTTGTATTTACCGTGCTCCCAATGGCATAAAAACAACACTCGAAACAATCTTCTGAATCTGTTTGTATATAGGCCACTGTACCGGGATTATACCTCTTCAAATTATGAAAATAAATAGGAAGTTTGGAAAAACATTCTTCAGAGGATCCCAACAACAGTTCCATAGCATATTGTTTTGCACGCCAAGCTTGTTTGTAATTTACATTGATTTCCAGCAAAGCATTCAAATCCCTTGATATTTCATTAGGCCTCCAAACCTTGGAACGAGTTTTTCCCATAATCTCATGCAATATAGTACCTCATGACTTTATTTATTTGCGTGTTTATGATTTGGGTGTATCTATAATGACGAACATGTGTGCACGTTGTTGAAAGTCCTGATTTCAAATTGATCAGTGGGATCAATGCGTTTTGCATATAAACGCCTATCAGTTACAAACGCCAAATCTTGACAATCACCAGCGCATTCATACAACTTTTCAAGAAACCATGTCCAAGTAAGACCACTCTCTTTTTTGCATATTCTGTGCGCAAGGGGCACTATCTGGTTGTTCTCATCCATAGCGACTGCATGCAATATGGTTCCCTTAAAATCACCCTTCAAATTGGCACCATCCATAATTATAACTTTACGAAAAAAACATTTGAATGTTCGTATCTGCAATATATTAAAATGGAACACATAAACACTATAAATTTTTTTACAAATAATTATATATTAAATAACAAGTTTTTTGTATTTACCGTGCTCCCAATGGCATAAAAACAACACTCGAAACAATCTTCTGAATCTGTTTGTATATAGGCCACTATACCGGGATTATGCCTCTTCAAATTATGAAAATAAATAGGAAGTTTGGAAAAACATTCTTCAGAGGATCCCAACAACAGTTCCATAGCATATTGTTTTGCACGCCAAGCTTGTTTGTAATTTACATTGATTTCCAGCAAAGCATTCAAATCCCTTGATATTTCATTAGGCCTCCAAACCTTGGAACGAGTTTTTCCCATAATCTCATGCAATATAGTACCTCATGACTTTTTTTATTTGCGTGTTTATGATTTGGGTGTATCTATAATGACGAACATGTGTGCACGTTGTTGAAAGTCCTGATTTCAAATTGATCAGTGGGATCAATGCGTTTTGTATATAAACGCCAAGTACAGTTCTCAATTCACAATATACCTCATAACGGTTTTTGTTAGAATTTTTTGTCTTAAACTGAAACTTTTCTCTAGTTGCTTTAAGACACAAAGCAAATATTAGTTGTTGTTTGTTATCATATGTTTGACGAACAAACATATCATCATTTGGACCTAAACTGTGAAATGGTCCAGGTTCAACAATAGGATCAGGACAATCAGGTATGGGAGGCATACCGTAAAACATGTATGAAGCTTTTTTTCGTGTGTGAACTCATCTTCTGACCAGCCTTGATTTGACTATTCATCTTCTGACAAAGTTTTGTCACGTAGTCTTCCAAACTCATATAAATTTTCTTCTTCTACTGTATTCACTGTCACAATTTCTTCTTGTGGACACTCTTCAACATTATCAGATACAATGTTTTCAACATTGTATGGTACAATCTTGTCAACAGCTTCGGTCTGTTCGATCCTTCCCTCTATCTGTTCGACCCTTCCCTCAAACACCTCCAAATACAAATGCACAATCTCCTTCGTTTCAGAAATTACATTTCTGAGTTGATGAACATATGCCTTGTCTACAATATTCATAACATGCCCATGAACCGGGTGTTGAAATGACAATGATATATTACTATTGAACGTATTAGCTTTACTTTTGACCAAATCAAACAATATTCGACGGTCAAAATTTGGCGGAAGCGGTAAACCTAAGTTGGACAGCTTTGGTCTAACGTAGGTGTTAATCCCATTACTGATCTGCCAAAAACCCCCATACAAAAAATAAAAAACTCATATTTTCTTTGAAAACAAATTTCTAACACTAAAACCGATCTAATATTGAAAATGGATCTAAAAAATGAAAAAAATCGTTTCTATCACAAAAAATCGTCGCTAAAAGCCTTGCAACCACCCATTCTGCGGAGACTTTAAGGCCTCCGCGGAGCACCGCGTAACCTCCTCTGTGGAGGCTTTAATCAACCTCCAAACCAATCCCTCTGCGGAGGACTTAATGTCTCCGCGGAGATATCTATGCGGACCTATCCCACATTAATAACAAAGTACATAATTTAACATCTCAGCGAAGGATTCATGGTTCCGCGGAGGTCCGTAGAGGGTCCTCCGCGGAACGCATGACTATATCCGGAAATTTAATTTTTCATGTCTAAATTTTGAATTTACCCCCCATTTTTTTACTATATCTGGTACTTTCCCAAGTGAAAAACATCACAACTATATACAACCTACTTACTTTTTTTAGGAATTATATAGGACAAAAGGTGAGTTTTTTTTTTTTTTTTTTGTAACTTTAATTCCATTTCGAAATGGCTAAAAAAAACAGATTCTATTGTGTTTGACATACATTGGAACTAGGACCAAAACTGATGTCAATGATACAAACATTACAATTTTTTATTCTATCCAAAAAGGTATAACAAGGCATGATATGGAATCGCTCTCAATTTCTCATATATGCAATTAATGATAATGCCCTTCTAATCTTTGCCATTGAAAATAGCCTAAAAAGGTTGTCTAGTCCCCTCACATGTAACAAACACAGTGTTTGTTAACACGGGATTAGACAAGGTTTCCAAGGCTATTTTTTATGATAAGGATGATGACATTTTCTTTTTTTACACAGACTAGCAACATGTCCCGTCTTGTTCCATCTTTTTGGGCTGAACAAAAATTATAATTTTTGTGTCATTGACATCCCTTCCGGTCCCAATTCCAATACATATCAAATGCAATACAACCTGTTATGTCATTTCTTGATCTATGTAACAAGGAGGCCTTAGAATTGCTACTTAGAACGATTCTTATTATAATATGCATAAGTTTTTTTTTAAAGCTACTTAGAATGATTTTTAAACATAAGCTTTTTTTCCGACTATCTAGTAATTTTATTATAATATGTATAAGTTTTTTTTAACTCTGATTAAAGCAATTTTTAAAACATAAGCTTTTTTATTCGACTCTAGTAATTTTAATATAATATGCATAAGCCTCTTTTAACGCTACATAAAATAATTTTTAAATTAGATGTTTTTGTTTTGAAATAAAAGTTTTTAAGCTCATACCATGAAATAAATTTATTTATTTTAATTCAACCTTTTTTTAAAAGCTAAAAGGTTAAGCTCCAAAAAGTCGTTGCCAAACTGTCCCTAAGTGAAAGTACATTTATATATGTAATTTAATGTAGGACTTGTAAGAATGAAGAAAAATATTGATAATCCTAAAGATATAAAAGAAGACAATCCAAACAATACAAATAAAATGAGGCATAACCTGGCAAAATGTTTACAGCTGAAATTTAAAATAAAAAAATAAAAATTTAAGTACGTATCAAAAATCATTATGCCAATAACATCGTCTATTACTCCCAGAAGATAAAACTTTACAATCAATTCTTTCCCAAACCAAAAAGCGCATCACAATTTCTTTGTCCCCTGACGCCGCCATCTTACCAACGACCCCTTTGTTTATGTTACTGTTGAATCGCCATAATGTAAAAGTACATAAACATCACAACCATATACAACCTACTCACTTTTTTTAACTCACAAAAGGTAAAAGTATTTTTATCCTTTTATTTTTTTAAACTTTAACCCCCATTTCATGACTTTCATGACTAAACAGAACAGCTGAAAAGGTGGGACATGGACTCGCTCTCGATCGATCTCACTTCTGTGCAAAAGACGATAATGCCCTTCTAATCTTTTGTCATTGAAAGTAGCCTAAAAAGGTTGTCTAGTCCCCTCACATGTAACAAACGCTAGCGTTTGTTAACACAGGACTAGACAAAGTTTTCATGGCTATTTTCGATGATGAAAATGAGAAGGGCATTTCCGTCTTTTACACGGACGAGCGATCGAGAGCTAGTCCATGTTCCACCTTTTCAGCTGGTCAAAAAATTACAATTTTTGTCTCATTGACATCAGTTCCGATCGCAGTTCCAATGCATGTCAAACACTGTACAACCTGTTATGTCATATCGCTTGCTTTTTTTTTTTTTTTACAAATTAGATTTTTTTTTTTTTTGGCATTTAAGCAAAAGAATAATTGTTAGTTTGAATATGGTTATTAATACATACCATCAAGAGCGGTCCCACATTGGTTCTAGTGAAGGGGGCTTTTCGATTCTACTGTGGGACCCAGAAGTAGTGAATGGAGGTGCATGCACTGTTATCGGAAGAACCCATTCACATTTGTCTCTTCCCTCTATTAGAAGCGGATGCTCAAATCTGTTGTACCAATAACAAAATGTACATGAATGAGGATGAATTGTCATTTTTGCCCCTGGTTTTGAAGTTTTCAAGTAGTTAATCATGAATATTACCTTGTCCAATCTACATTCTTTGGAGTAGTAAAAAATTCAAAGCGAAGCACCCATTGAACAGAGACATGTCTAGTGGAAAAAGACATGGGCCCATCCATGGGAACTGAAAACTGAAAGCTTGTTTGCACCAAATCTGCAACAACTTCATGGTGATCACTTTGTATCTGCATATATATATATATATATAAACTTATATAAATTCAGATAAATTAAATAAAATTAAAAAATGCAAAAGAATCAGATGATAAACCTTTGTAATTGTTGGGGAATATTTTCTAGAAGGATGTGCAGAGCGACGACTTATAGTCTCTGATAATTCCAAGGTAACTGAAAGCTGGAACAGATGAACCAAACGAGTTAAAAGACGTAAATACCCTTGTATTGATGTCAATGGAACAAAAACTGCAATATTTATACATGTTACTATGTTAGTACCTCAAGACATCTTCTGGTTTCTTCCTCGTGGAAAAAGGTAAGAGTTCCACCTATCTGTGATCAGAAATCCACAGGGGTATATAAGTAATTCAACCAAAGGAAAATAAGATGGTTTGAGATTTATTTTTACCATATCACCAAAGTAATAAGTTGATTCAGGTTTTGTGGGTGAGAATCTTAGTAGAACTTGGTCATCAAGCCTAATGTTGTATGATCTTCCTCGAATCAGACCTTCTGCTGCAGCAAACGTTAGTGGCAACTTAATTTTTAAGGTATAACACAAGGGTAAAATGGTCATTTATGCAACAACATTTACAACCATGGTAACAGGTAAAATGATGCATCTTTCGGGCATTTATGTTAATGTTATACTCTAAAATGAAACAACAATGCAAAATTTCATATAAAAAACATTGTGGGGAAAAGCGAAAAGTTGTTGAACAAATATTTAACCCAAATTAGATTATTTTAAAAAGTGTAAAAGAATAAGAAACAGTATTACTTACATGCAACAGGTTCAAGAGTTCTTGAGCCAGTTGAGACTCTCAATTCATCATTCATAGGGGGTGATTTTGGAATTTTTAGCTGCTCATTTGGAGCATTTAAGTTATCTGTTTAAGAAACAAATAGTCATTAGAACCAATAAGATAAAACCTATATGCCATAAAAGGAACACTAAAAGCAACAAAACCTTATTCTGCAAATATCTAAGATTAACAATAACTTACCTTCACTAGAACCATAAAGCACTTCAGCTGCAGAAAGCCGAGGTATTGCCATGTATGAAGACATGGTTGACCTTTGGTCAATGTAGGACACATCTTTACTTGACTTTGCTGCAGATGAAGGTAATGATATTGAGCTTCCAAATGCTTTCTGTAAACTTCCCATTGCTGGATTGTAGGAAGAAACAGAAGAAATATCATCCCTTTGACTTTCATAACCTTCTTCTTCTCCATCAAAAGTTTCATTAGCTCTAGCCTACAAACAAAAAAAAAAAAAAAAAAAAATTATAACAGTTGGGATTTGTAATTAATTTAATAAAGGGGTGTTGTTATATGCACTCTGCAGCTTACCCATTCAGATTCAGCACCCATATCTTTCCAATAAACATCCAAGAGAATAGTTGTAGTAGGAACAATCCCTTAAATGTTGGAAAAAGTTCACAATTATATAACAATTAGGGAAATAAGATAGTAATGATAAAGTCATAAAAGTTAAAAGAATTACCATTTGTTCCAGTTTCTTCATTTAACAAGCCATTTGTTTTCTCAGTGACCCATATTTGAAGTGGCAAGCGAGCTTCCTGCAGATATAAATGGTTGCATACAAAGTTAATAGATAAGAATGGTTGCATATAGAGGAAAAATTCACAAAAACAAAGGGGAATTATAATTATAATTTATAAATAGATGTTGAAATGGGAAGACAAACTATGTCAGGGAGTTTCTGCATTGATTCTCCATGTGGGTGTCCATCTTTCATATTTAGATATTTTCCAGACATTTCACTTTTAATATGATATAGATAGCGAACAGTGGAGCCCCTGTATGATGGAGGTATGATTGTTGGCAAATTTATCCTCAAGATATCTGGATATAACATAAGCATTTATAATGAGAATTTTTTTGAAGCTTGTTTACAAAAACCAGATATACATACAGCAACATTGAATGAAATAAAGAATTTGTTACATGTTCTTGTAGTTCCAGGTGACAGAATCTGATTTGAAATCACTGATGGCACTGAAGACTCCAAGAAAACATATTCACCTGGAAAGATTTGTATAAAGAAACCATCATTTGGTGTTCATCTAGATTGGTGCCTGAATATTACTTGCTACATCTCTTTTGAAAATCCAAGAAAAAAGACCCATTTAAACTATTTTCACTGCAAATCATTGAATTTGCATTTTTTTACTAATTAGTGTCCAACATGATTCAATTTGTAATACTTGTCACCAAGTTTCTAGCAAAGTCTAAACTTCTTTTTAGATTGAAGGATGAAAGGTAACGTGTTTGATTGGAAAGAGGTGAAAAGATAACTATAGGAGTAAGAAAAATGCGCTATGCAACTTTTGAATCTGACACAGGCACACAGCTAAAAAGGCTTACACTATCGGTGAAATGTCTACAAATTCATCTCAATGGCATGGATATTATAACCAAAATCACTAGCATCAACTATGAAGATCAGAAAATATGTAAATCCAGCTTTAAACTTTTGAATAAGCGAAAAATAACTTTCTAATAAGTTGTAATTTAGCACAACTGAAATGCGGCTATATCCATGGTAGAATAAGAATACGAAAACTTTCAGAATGTCGAAAATGGGAATGCTAACCTCTCCTCTTCTGATTAGAGTCGGGTAGTGGTTTGTGAGTGCTAAACCACTGAGTGTCCAATTTCTCAATGCCTTTGGCTTCAAAGCTTAGCCGATCAACTAACAGCGAACATTCACCAGGAGGATTTCGGATCTCGATTGTAATGGTAACAGGATCACCTGGCCTATATACTTTCTTATTAGCCTCTAACTTCAACGAAGGCTGCTCATGCAAAGGCACACGCACCTCATCTTTCCTAGTTTCTCTATTTCCGAGTCCGAACAAGGAGGTGAGCGATCTCGAAGCTTTTGGCGGCGGCATTACCTTAACAAGTTGCAGATCGATCCGTCTTAACCACAGCCAGAATTAAGCCCTAAAAGTAATATTTCAAATTGGGCATAGGTTGATCGATTGTGAATCACAATGGTAACGGTTTGATCTGAATATGCAGGTGAAGATGAATTGGAGAAGAATCGACTTGGGGAATCCGTCAGTAGTGTCGGTGGTGGGTCAACATGACGACGGAGGGATTTGCAAGCAAAGCCTTTAAGCCTTACACACTCTTTTCTTTTTAGATTTTATTTTTTTCAGTTCGATGCATGTTCTCGATTATTATTCTTAAAATAGTTATTTTATTTTTATTTTTATTTTTATTTAATAATAATTATATTTATTTTTTTTAACGGCATTCTATAGAAGATAATAGAGTAAATTTGTGTTGTGGTTCAAGTGTCAAAGATAATAGACTAATAGAGTAAATTACATAGATGTGGTTATGGTTCAAGTTATGAGTCATTTTATCTTTTTTTTCAAAATTTAACTTGGATCATGTTTACCGAACATAAAAATGACTATTTTTTTGTTTTCTATTTCGTTTTCGTTTATTTATGGAAAATCTTCAGAATAGTCCTAATATTTTACCTTAATTTACGAAAAAAATCTCAAATTAAAATTTGTTTACGAAAAAACATGAATTACCGGTAAAAATAACGATTTAATCATTTTTTTCGGTTTACCGATTTCATTAAAGTCACATTATTTTACCCTAATTTAAGAATAAGTCTTAAACTAAAATTTAGTGATGATTTGGTATTTTTCTCCATGTAACATACATTTTATCAGTTTCATTGTTAATTCGGACATCTAGTCATTAAATTAATTGATAAGATGGATGTGATGGGTTATATAATGCTACATTTACTGTAAAAATTGATATACATCTCATCGGCTCATTTATGACTACGTATCTAGGTCAGCAATGAAACCGGTAAAAATGTGTGTTTCCAGGAAAAATGGCAGGAAATTAGTTGATGTCTGATGAGATCGATATATTGGTTTACATAATGTAACATCTCAAAAATTCAACAAATTTAAAACTTTTCAAAACAACTCTTTTGTCTAATAGAAGTGTTACAAAATCATTGTTTCAAAACATTATTTAAAATCAGAGTCTCTCAATATCCAATTAGTTGTAAAACCAAGGATGTGTAGGACCACGTATTCACCTTGCCACGGTCTACTGAAGTACCTGAAACCATAAACCAAAACGGTAAGCACAAAACTTAGTGAGTTCCCCCCCCCCAAGTACCACCACACAAACAGATAACATATATCAACAAAAAGCATGCATACAGGGTCTTCAATCTGACTGGAACGCCCCACGGCCTGCAGTCTACCTGGTACGCTCACAAAACCTTCAACATGACTGGTACGCCTCATCGGGCCTTCAGCCTGTCTTGACCGTTCTCTAGGCCTTTGGCCTGACTGGTACGCCTCACTGACCTTCAGTCTATCCGGGACGCCCTAGATCTGTTGATCTTCGGCACAAAGCAGGACCGCCTCAACCCAACCGCACATAAACCATGTCGACACACATATCTAACAGACAAGCATACAAATAACCAATCAATAATCAAACAGAGCCTTTAGCCTGACTGGAACGCCCCATCGGCCTACAGTCTATCTGGTAAGCTCACATAACCTTCAACATGACTGGTACGCCTCATCGGGCCTTCAGCCTATCTGGAACGTTCTCCAGGCCTTCGGGCTGACTGGTATGCCATCAGGCCTGCAGTCTATCTGGGACGTCCTGGGTCTCTTGGCCTTCAGCACATAACAGGATCACCTCAACCCAACCATACACAACTCGTCAACATATGTATATGCAAAACACATATAAGCCCAGTACACCATAACAACATATCGATATAAACATTACCGGGTTTGTTGACAAACAACACAAAACAGTACAGTCTCAACCCACCCACATTACGGCGACATATACAGCTAAACATATAACCAGCCAACAGACAAACAGGCAGATCTTACATGTCACTAAGCATAGTATCATCCTATATACCAAGATACATGTCTAACAGATCAATACATCATACAATCATGTGACAAACCAGGAAGTGCCTTCGACCCGTAAGTACAGTGAGGAAAACTCACCTCTCGATCTGATCCATAGTTGATGAGGATCGAATCTGAATCGCATCTCTCTAAATTATACTTGTTTTCACCAAGTGACCAATTCCATCAAAATCCCAAAATACCCTCAATGTCCAACTCGGTCAAAATCAACGATCAAGGTCAACAGTCCATGTTGACTCCAACACGTCGTGTTGACTGAGAAACACGCCGTGTTCCACCTGCATCCAAATAGTCAGGAAAATCCCAGCCAACACGTCGTGTTGACTTAGAAACACATCGTGTTTGCCGAAGTTCCGACAACTTAATACATTAAGCCGTTTTCCTTGATTCCAAGAGCTCCAAAGCTCAGATAGTCTGAAATGTGATCCATAAGGATAAAGTTTCCAACTTTATCCATTGGGACTACCCAAAAAGGTCCAACACCCAATCCGTAAAGCGTAAAATGCAAGGGCTTACCCAATAAGCACTTAATACTTAAGGTCTGAAATCTATCATTTCCATAAGTGATTCTAACACCAAAACCATCCCAAATGTTGGTGCTTTTTAGACATACATGTCCAATGTATATCTTGAACCCATATTAGGTCAAAATGAGGATTTATGACCTAATCTTTATGCATGACATCAAAACTTGATTAAAGACCAGATCCAAGACATTACTAGGTCACCTTGATCTGGAGATTCATAAAGTTGCAAACTTTATGAGATCTAACCATTCCAACATTTAAGAACAATAAGAAAAAGGGACAAAACCCAATATCTAACAACTTCAAATGATAAAAATCGAGTCTTGGACATTTACAAAGGTCCAGAAGAGTGCCAAACTGAAGATTGGGGGCTTGCTTTCTGGATCTTTGCTTCCTTCCTCCACCTTCTTCCTTCTTTAGCTTCAAAAACACCAACTAGCTCAAAACTGGGAGGGAAAGATGATTAGGGTTTCTTTCAGGGCTTAAGGGGCTGAGGGTGAACAAACCATAGCATCCACATTCCTTTAAATAGGTAGCAAAACCCGGAAGATTAGGGTTTCATCACCAGCCATCAACACGCCGTGTTCCATGAGGCAACACGTCATGTTACCTTAATAAAATATGCACTTCCTCATATATGGACACGCCGTGTTGGTTCATCCAACACACCGTGTCAAATCCTTAAAAGGTGATTCTTTCCCCAAAATTGCTCCTCAGTTTCCGGGTGTTACAAATTTCCTCCACTTAAATTAGATTTTGTTCTTGAAATCATTCCTTACTATCTCCTTTACCGAACTAAATGATCATGACTGGACTCCCTGAATCCCAAAAACGACTGGGGAAGTCACCTCGCTCTAGTGACCGCCCACCCTTACTGATGTCGAATCCAAAAATAGAAGATACCACGAGCCCTATCGAATAATGAATCTCAACCTTTTCCTTAAGTCAACGAGTAACCAACCGCTATACCTGAAATTGAAAACTCTGAACAATGTCGAACTCCAAGACAGACATAACCAATCAAAAATGCTCCCGCAAAGACTCAACCTCACAACCCATCCGGCCTGAACGAATTCACAGATACCCGAAAACATATACCCTCATTGGGTGGTGTCCAATACACTTATTGGGCGGGGCCCGTTATGTATTTATTTATGTATGACATGTGGTATGTTCGGGAACCCACTAAGCTTTGTGCTTTATGGTTTTCAGTTTATGTTTCAGGTACTTCTGGTTCCAAAGGGAAGAGTCAGGATGATTGTAGAACACACACCACCTCGTTCCGCATTTTGTGATTTACTCCGATATGATATGATGATTGATACATTTGTTTTATCTGGATCTTTATGATGATGTTTTTGGGATATTGATTTTATTAAATTAAAAATGAAATTTTTGGGTCTTATTTTTGGGATGTTACAGTAGTCCAGTCCGATGACTGATTGGACCCATTACATGTTTTTACATGTCTTAATGCGTGTGGTATTTTGGAGAAACTCACTAAGCTTTATGCTTATCTAATTGCTGTTGTTTTCAGGTATCATCAGTTCGTGGGAAGACGAAGGCGTGACTGTACACACTCATCAGCAGCATTGAGGATTCCATGTTATTATATTACTTTGATTTTCGATAAATGTAACTTGAAATAAATGATTTTCGTAACTTGTATTCTAAAAATGAACAGTTTCACCTTAATTTATTATGAAAAATTTTGATGGTGAAAATGAGATCTTACAAAATCGTTCTCGTACCTTAATCCCGGTCCGACTGATTCAAACCGATTTTTAAAATATTGGGTTCAACCATGAATTTCGTTAAACCATCGAAATTCTTTAACTTGGTTAAAGTTGTTTAAAAAAAAATCAAAATTTATACGGTTAAATCATAAAAAGAAAACACTCTTAAAGTAAACAAATTTCAAATTATTGTAATTTTGTAGAACTTAATGTTATTGTAGCGTTTTTTGTTATTAAAAAAAAATTTAATGGTTAAATTAAAAAATGTTATTGCGTTTGATTTCTTTTTAAATTAAAATTTGTCTTTTAAAATTCATGTGACCACTAAAATTGAGTTTTATAAACATTTATTGCCATAAAGTTTACAAAATACATAGAAAAAAGTTATAAATACAAGAATTTAAATAAAATGTCAATAATCATTCCATATCATTTCCATAAAAGTAATACTATATGAAACACGGAATACATATATACATGAATAGAAGGAAGGAACAAAAATTGAGACATATATATACAATATCAAAAAGGAAAAAGGAACTAAATTTGAGAAAAATAAAATAAAAATATAGTTTCATAGACTTTAACCTGCATTATTTAGAAAACAAGTGGATTAAGATAAACTTTAAATATATAACAAACATAATAATATATATATGAATTAGGAAGGGTAAGATTTGGGGGCCAAAGGTTATACTCGAAGTCCATCAGCTATTTTTCAAAGGCCAATGGCAAGCCACATTATTGTGAAAGGCTTTGGAACCCTTAAATGAGTCCCCTATTTACATACACATGATTATTATGTATTTTAAGTTAAACTATTTAAATAGAATAAATCAAATTATATATATATATATATATATATATATATATATATATATATATATATATTTTGTTAGTATTTGATTATTATATAAACTAATAAGTTTTTATTTAGAATATGAGTTATTATACTTATTTTAATAATTATAAATAATTAAAATATTAAAATATATATTAAAAAGTATTAAGGCAGTGAAATTGGCGAAGACCTACAAGAAGCGCGGGAAAAAAGTGAAATTGGCGCCACAATGCTAATCGGATCTTAAATTACTCTTTTTTCGATCAAACATCTTTACCTTCGATACTCGGAGCATCAGTCACTGTTCTTCAGTTTATCGTCGCCTGGTATAACTTCTGAATGATTATATCGATTATTCTGAAAAGCTAAAACCCTAAATATACAGAAGCTATGGAAAATCTGTCGTTCATATGCGGTGGTCTTGGAATCATTGAAGAGGATGACGATGGCAATCAGATCGGGTACACTCCAGGAGAATACTGTTTAGGTACATTTTTCAGTGCAGACACTCAAATACTTTCAGCTATACATTTTGTGAGTTAATTTGCGTACACAATGATATCCATAGTTCGATAATTTTTTTAATCGCTGTAATCGATGGACAGATAATTTGAAGGATTTGCTGAGATTTCTAAGGCGAGACGATCCAGAGACTCGAGAAGTGTTCAAACAAGTTTGTAAATGGAACATAGTGGGTAAAGATATATTGCCCATAATCCAACACCGTCAAAATGATACCACGTTGTTGCTAAATGCAGGTAATTACTTACGTCTTTGACTATTGGTTTATAGTCATCTATCAAACGAGTCCAATTTCAATATTAGAAATTCAAAATTGACATTAATCCCATCTGTTTGGTAAAATTACTTTGCTCATCAAATACCCTAAATTCTTTTAATACAAAATTGAGACATCTTGTGCTCACCATTATATTCGGCAAACATGTAACTTTGAAATGAAATTTGACTAAAAGCTGAAATCTTTCTGATTAACTATTGCAGTGAAGGTTTTGGTGTTTCTTACAATGCCAATTGATCCAACATCTAAAGATATACCACAACAGATTGAATATCTTTGGGGTTTGAAGTCCATGATCACTTCCAGTCATGCTATCCCAGTGATAGTTACCCTTCTTGAAAGCCCACTTGAACATTTGGAAGGGTATGTAGTATGTACACCAAGTTTAGAACTTGTGATGCTTTCATTTTTTACACATTAATGAATTATTTTTTATGCTTGAAACAGGGATTCATTTACAGAGGATGACTGGAAACTGGTGCAGCTTGTAGTCACTTTATTTCGCAACATTTTAGCTGTTCAAGACATCACCACACAACAGAGAGTTGCTGGATTAGCTTCTGAATTTGTCATTCTTAGAGATCGATTCTTGGAACTGTTGTTTGAAGAGAATGTGATGGATTTGATTTTAGTCTTAACACAACATGTTGGTGGTTCCTCTGGTGTTTTTCGCCAAGATAATTTGCTTTTATTAGAGACATTCTATTACATATATAAGTGCCAAGTTCCTGAGCTAATTGCAAGAGCTCATGTAGATGCTTCCATGAAGGTGGTTGGTTATTCTTGTAAATTGTTATCATTCAAATCATTTCTATTAATGTTTTGACTTTATTGTAACTTTACTGAATCTGTTCATTGGTTCATCAGGTGGAGGGAGAAGCAGAAGCTACTGCCACTGATCTTAAGTCTCTAATGGAAGAGGAAAAAGAAAAAAGAAGGCAAACAATGCTTTTAAATATTGGTGCTCGATCAAAGTTCAGTGGATCATTCACCCGAGTTACTATGGTAAAAGCTTTTCATTTAGTTGTGGATCCATTCAGATATTCATTACTAACTTCATCAATTGGCTTTATTTACAGGATGGTTCCAAAGTTTTAGTTAAAGGAAACCCTTGTTCTGATTCTCATGATTCATTGCTTAAAGGTCATAAAAACCAGCGTGATTCATCAAAAAAGATGCCATGGGAGAGTGGAAGAATGCCAACAACAAACAAGAATATCCTTCGGTTGCTCCATGATTTTACTAATCAGTTCCTGTTAGGAGGGTATAATGGTAATTACTGTATTCTCAATGAAACTATCTGTTGTTATCCGTGGTGTCATTACTCATTACTAATCAGTCCATATGTAATTCTCAACAGTGTTAATGCAGTCAATTCGTGAGGATATTGAGAAAGAACACCATGCTATTGAAAACAGCGATGTTGTTATATTCTTTCAGGTTGCTGAATTTATTATGTCTTTCCAGAATCACAAGTTACTTGCTTCAAAGGTGAGATCTTTATTAATGGTTTCATCTCAAAAAGGCTTGAAAATATATATATATATATATATATTTCTTTAATGGGTTTTTGATGCTATAACAGCCTGATGCTGAAGCCAATGTATCTGAGTCTTCTAAAGATCATGATGCTGAAAGCACATTGTTTGAAGGAAATATATGTGGTTCAATTTCTGAAACAATGAATGAGCCAATGTTTCTACTTGTTGTATCAAAGTGGCGTTCTGCATTTGATGGTTTGAAGGAGACAAATGAGTACAAATTTCTTTCTGCTGCTGGATCTCTCATGAAAATAATGGTGTGTTTTTTGATGTTTTCTGTCTTTAACTGACTCTTGGAGCTTTAATTAAAACTACTAACTGTTTTTTTCCATGCTTTTTCAGATAAACATGTTAGATTTGGTGCTTAAGATGTCACTAGATGATTCTAGGGAGCCTCAAACTGCACGTGTTCTTCTTTACAAATTATTTTATGATCAGACAGATCAAGGGATGACTTACTTCCTGTTTAATTTGATCAAGACATTTAATGCACACAAACAACCAAAAAGGTTGGTTCTTTTCTCTTATTGAGTATCTTGAAACAGGGAGAAGAAAAGTATTAATGAGATAAATGAATAGTTTTTTTGTCTCAGAAAAAACACAACTTTTTAATTTGAGGTGGTTGAGAACTAACAAAGAAAACCTAAGAGATAACTCAGAAAAACACGACTTCTTACATTTTCTATATCACAAGTCAATTAAAGAAAACATAAGTAAGCATGTATAATCAACAAGTAATGAATACATGCTTCTTAAAGCAAAGGGGTCTTGCTTAATAAGTGCAAATTGTTACTTAAATCGACATTTTTTGCAAATAGAAAAGTATCACATCTTTCTAGAATCAATATTGCTAAGTTTTTTTAATTCATCAGTTTCTCATAATTTTATCTTTGTTTGTCTATCAGTGATCTTGCTGATTTGGTTGAAACAATTCATATAGTCATATGGCTGATGGAAAATCTTCAATCACGTGGTACATTGAGGGTATGTTCATTTCAAGATTTTTTTCTACATAATTTTGAAATGTTTTTGGCTTTTCTTTTACAATAAAATTGGGATGTGCTTGTATGTATATATGTTATTCTATTATTGCTATGAACACATTTTTTTTTGTGTTAGGTTTCTAAAAAGTCAAGGAGGAAAAGAAAGAAGAAACCCTCAACCACTAATAAAGAAGCCAATGCTTCAGATCAAATTCCAATTCAAAATGAGGATCATGAAAAAACTGAAAATGTGAGCATTCCAGAAAAAGAAACTTCACCAAGTTCAAAAGCTGATAAGATTGGAGATGATGATGATGACATCATCCATGGAGAATCTGATGCAACTAAGGAGGAAACTAAAGATACTGAAGGAAACAATGATTATGTGTTGGATGAATCTTCTGATGATGATGAGGAAGAACAAGATGCAAGAAATGAAGTTGACTTTAAGGCATCTTCATTGGTCTCTTCTCTTGCAAACAACACCATTATCCAAAATTTATGTTGGCTATTGAAGTTTTACAAAAGCAATTCTGTTAGAACAAATCATTACATTATATGTGCATTAACAAGAATTTGTCAAGATCTGGAACTTTCTCCTATGCTATATCAGGTAAAACCTTCAATTCTCTGAAAAATCAAAATCAGCAACAAGTATAATCTACAGTGTTAATTTCAAAAAATATCAGCAACAAGTATAATCTACAGTGTTAAAAGATGCTATAATTGGGTAGATTTTGTTAATTTTAACAAAAGTATATTGCTATTTGTTTCATTGATCTGTCTATTATAACACTTTACTTTCATTTTTCAACATATAATGCTCTAATAAGAAAAAAACTTGAATAAAAAGTTGAAATAAATGATTTTTTTTTTTGCAGTTATCGCTTCTTATAATATTTCACACCATTCTAGAAGAGCAGAAGTCAAGTCCATTAAAAGAACACAAGAACATTGTTTTATTTCTTACAGATTTAATTAGGAGAATGCTGAGAAAAATGAAGAGTAATCCTCTTCTTTTTGTGGAAATTCTTTTCTGGAAGTCACGTAAAGAATGTCATTATATAAACTGTGAATCAATGCTACAAGATTTTGGCAGAAATGGGTATACAAAAAGAGGAAATGACAATAATACCCATAATGGAAATGACAATGACAATGTTGGTGGAAATGGATATGGATATGTTAAAAAAAGCATGGCTGATGCACTTGGTGACGATGAAGCTGATGTTGTGATTCCACCTTGGAAAGATAGAGATGATGACCAGAGGTAAGAACAAACAAATGATCTTTTCTTTGTGCAAAAAGACGAAAGTACCCTCATCCTGTAATTAATTTATATAATTGTTTTTTAAGTGAGGAAAATGGAGAAGGGACAGAAAACTTTATTGAAAGAACTGAAACAGTGGAAAATCCTGTAAAGGCACGAAAAAGATTGAAGCCACTTGTTCTTAATGATGAGCTGGAAGAAAAGCTGAAGGACCTTTTTGAGAAGTATATGTTTTACAATATTTCCTTTTTTTTTTTTTCTAAATAAAACAAATATATATATTGAAATATGGTGATTCATTGTAGATATAAAGAGCTTCCAGATTGTAGTCAACGTATAGTAACAGAACTTAATTTGGAAGTTTCATCAGCTCAAGTTTCAAAAAAACTTAAAGAATTGGGATTAAAATTTCCACCAAAAAAGAGAATGATTAATAAAGATGTCTCTGATATTCAAGAAAAAGACATGGATGCATCACTTCAACAACCTTCGTAAGTACTTATAATAATAATAATAATAGTGCAAAACTTATCTTAATATCTTTTATGAATTTAATACAATAAGATTGCTAATCCCTGTTTTCCTTTTCCTTAGATTTGTCAGAAAAAGAGTACGTGCATTTAATGAAGATCAAGAAATGAAGATCAGAGCTTTATTTGAACAGTAAGTTCCTGAATTTATTTAAAGCATTAACAAAGTTTTCCAAGGCTATTTAATGAGACAAGGAGGGTATTTTCGTCTTTTGTACAAACAACAGATTGAGAGCAAGTCCCTGTCCCATCTTTTGTCATGAGAAGGGCATTAACGTCTTTTTCTTGTTCCATCTTATTGAATGCATGCCAAACTTGGGCTTTTATAATGTGTGGATTAGTAATATAATTAAAAAAATCTGAAAATGTTTTTTTTTTGTTAAAAAAAAAAGGTTTAAAGATCACAAGAAATGCAGTCACATGATTGCAAGTGCACTAGAAGGTGACGTGGCATTCACAGCAGCACAAATTACACGTAAGCTGACACAACTTGGCTTGCGTGTCAAGAAACAAAAGTCAAATGATAAAATGAACTTGAGAGATGATGATGATGTTTCAGATGGTGAAACACTTGTATCACTAAAGAAAAGGTACTTTTTTTATTTTAGCATTCTATTACTTGTCATTTTTTTTTTCTTAAATAAATATATAAATATATATTTTTTTACTTTGATATTAGGAGCAAGAATAAGGTCTCAATTGAGAAAACACAAGATGACATTTCAGATGATGACAATGTTGTACTAAGTGCTTCTTTTAAGAGAAAAAAGAAGCACAATATTGTCACAAATGAGGGAACACCAGATGGAATAAACAACCAATTATTAGATGATGATGATGATGATGATGATGATGATGTTGTTTTAAGCTCGGCTTTCAGGTAAAAATAAAATCCATCTTTCCTTTTCACAAATAGGTATAATTGGAACTAATTTACTTTGATTTCAGAAGCAAAAAGAAGCATACTAAGGTTACAACTGAGGAGACACCCAATGATGATGATGATGATGATGATGATGATATTAAAGTTGTGAAGAAGAGGTTGTCACATAAAAGAGGCAATTTAGTTGATGACAAGAATAGTGAAGAAGAAGAACAAGTTGTGAATGGTGAAGAGGAAGATGTGATGATGAGTGAAAGTGTTAATCATATGGATGATGATGAACTTAATGATGAAGTAATGGATTTAGGAAACAATGAAAGTCCTGTTATGTCTCAAAAAAGTGGAGGGGTGAGGCGAAAGTTGAGAATGATCATAGATGATGAAGATTAAAGAGATCATAATCGTTCATTGGTAAAGTATAAAAATGTTGCTATGTTTTTTGTATTTAATGGGGACACGATTTGATCTTGTGATGTGTATATTAAGTCAAAACTCTTTTCATATTTTCTAGTTTATTTCTTTTTATTTCCACATGTGTTGTCATGTTTGTAATTGTTATTTAGATATTGTCTACTAGGGAGTATTTCATCCAAACTTTATTTAGTGAAAAAATAAAAAGTAGTTAAGTGAAATGATCAAATATTGGTGGCTCATGTATCAAGCTTGTCACCTTTTTTGGTCAAATAACCACTTTAAATACTTCGCATTGGATGACAAATAAAAGTGAATTTGTGTGGTTTATGAGGTCAACTTTTTATATATGGGATTGTAAAGGATTTTTAATGATAAGTTGTAAAAAAATAGAGTTTTCCTTATTTATACTTCATTATTATAATTAAGGTGGTGGTGTTTGTTTTGTTTTGAGAATATATTTTTCAACACTTATGTATCCAGACATATGTGACAGATTGTTTTTTTAAAAAGTAAAAAAACATAAAAACATTTGTGTGTTCTCTTTTTGCAGAATATAGAAAAAATGGCTTCTAAATTTGGAATATATTTCATATTTCAAACACTTCATTTCAAAATTTGTCATATTTTCAGTTTTTTTTTTCCTTCTTATTTTACTTCTCAAAATATAACTTTTACTAAGTTTGATTACAACACATTTCATGAGACCAGATTTAACCCTTGACCTATAATAATATTTTTAAAATTTTTATTTTTGTAAAATATAATCTCTCATAATACAATAAATTCGTTAAATAATAAAAACATCGAATCTATGTTAGTTAATTGCAAAATTAAAGTATTAATAAATTAAATAAAAATATTTTCAAACAAACTAATCCTTCAGACTATCCACATCGCCATCTTTAATTGCAATGCCACTTGTATAATACTTATATGCCACGTTCTATCTATTTCTTTCAAGTTTTGAAAGCCTTGCAAAAAAAAAGTGGCTCACATTTATGAATAGTTAATTGTTTATTTGTTCAAATGTTCTTATGTGGCATGTTTTGCAAGATCCCCACATTACACTGACCTGGGTACTCTTACACTTCAATTATTGATATTATATTTTGTTTATAACAATACGAGTAAATTATGTTATAATATATTTTCTAGTTCCGTTTGTTTTCTTGTATTTAAAATTTTTAGATGGAATATACTTAGATTTATGTTGTACTCATGTTTATTTGATCACATAATGATTGTTATACATGTTTAGTTATTCATATGTGATTTGCCTTATGAAAATATAAATATAACATATTCACGAACAAATATAACATATGCAAATGAGAATACAAAGGATGTATATGTCAAAATAACATATGCATAAAGTAAATCCACCTCATGCATATTAAATATAACATACACTATATTAAAAGAAGATAAAGTTTAGTCTATAGACTTCAAAAAAAAAAAATTTATATGTAATATCAAACCCTTATTTTTATTTTCTTTTTCCGAAGATGTAAAAAAAAGACCATATACATTTTATATCTTCAAAAACAAACACCATGTAAATGTGATGAAGGATGATTTGTGTGAAAATCAAGAGGTAGTGGTTAAAGTTTTTTGACTTAAAAAAAAAGTTTAATTAGAATGTGAACAGACATGATTTGTGCAATAACCAATGAGGTTTAAGTTAGGGAGATTTTAGTTTAATTTTTATTCTAAATATTTATTTTTGTTTTTGGTATAACTTTAAGCGAGTTTTATGTGTAATGTCCCAAATTTTCAACCGATTTTTTATTCTTAAAATATAAATAATTTATCTTAAACCATCTTTTCAAAAGTATATAAAAGCCATTTGTTCAAAAGCTATAAAACATAATTTCAAAACAAAGTTATATCGTAAACCAGGGAAGTCTCAAAATAATATCATAACATCGACACAAGTGTATAGTCACACCAAACCTTTCCCTTTTCCATCCAAACAACCTGAAAAAACATTTAACTTTAAAGCATAAACACAAAGTTTAGTGAGTTCCCCAATATATCACACATTCCATCATACATACAATACATAACAACAGTAAGCTTACAGTCAACACCTCAGTGGGTCGCTAGGCAGGTAGCCAACTTCCCACTTGACCTGTAGACTCATATCTAACTCACATTTAACACCTCAGTGGCTCATCATCCCACTACCTGTAGACTCCCAACCATCAACCTACTAGGCCCGAAGGCTCTTAGCCAACCACCCATAGGACCATCCATATAACATAGCAAAGACTAAACTAGTCTACCCACTTAACCGTAAACTAAAAATACTCATACATCCTACCATACACTGACATATAATGTCATATATAATATAGTGAGAAAACTCACCTGAAACTAGCAGTCACAATCTTAAGAATAATCTCCTCAGACGAAACAACTAACATGAACCACCTAATACCAAACATAGGCCAAACCTTAGTCTAGTACTCAAATCCATCAAAGTTTAACCAAAACTCAAACTGGTCAAAAAGTCAACGGTCAAACATGTCATGACTAAAACTTAGACGCGCCGCGTCAACCAACCGACAAAACAATTGCAACTTCGATCTACGCGCCGCACGGGGCCAAGGTATTGGTGCGCGGACCTTCTAGGCAGTTTCCTTAATCCATTAACTCAGATGTAACGTCCAAAAATTAAGACTCGAAAATTTTCATTTTTAAATTAATAAAACAGTAAATCATATCATTTTCATAAAACTAGGGTAATCAAAGTTTTATCAATACATCATCATTATCATAGCAAATCACAGAATGCAGAATCCAGTGGTGTGTGCTCTGCAATCATCCCAGGCTCTTCCCTTTGAAAACAGAAGTACCTGAAACATAAACTGAAAACCATAAGCACAAAGCTTAGTGACTTCCCCAAAATACCACATACCATACATACATAAATAAACATATAATGAGCCCCGCTTGACATACAGATCTGTCTGTCATCGGGCCCCACCCAACATCGAGCCCCGTTCGTTATAAAGATTTGTCAGTCATCGGGCCCCGCCCAGTAAACATATAAAACATATAAACAAATAAACATATAACATATGCAATAATCACAAAGATACATAGCATATAGAATGGTCATAGGGTCCCGCCCGACATCGGCCCCCGCCCGGTAAGCATACGAGCACATAACACATGCAAGAGTCACACAGACATCTAGCATCCTAACATAACAAAACCATGGGCCGACATTGGTCCCTTCGACTCGCTAAGCATAGTGAGGAAACTCACCTCGCACCGCTGAATCTCACTAATAAGCCTCTGGCTGGCTGGCTAAAATCCCCGCGCTATCAGTTACAAATAACATCCAATTAATAATTGGATCCCATCTCACACTGAAAGTCCAAATTAGGGTAAAATACCTTTTTACCCTTACCTGAACTTGGCCCAAGGCCAAGGCCCAATCCACTTGTCCTAATGCCCAAATATGGCTCAATTTCCAAATTGGGCCCAAAACCCATCATGGGCCTAATGAGAGAAGGCCCAATATCCTAAAAGGCCTAAAATATCCATTGGTCAAATATGGTCAACTTTTGGTCAATGGTCCAAGGTCAAAAAGTCAACACGTCAAGAAAACTTCAACAGACTGAGTACGCCCCACATACTCAGTTGGTACGCTCAGCGTACCTCAAACTGGCTCAGTATGCACCGCATACTAGGAGGTACGCCCCACGTACGCACCCTACCCCTAAACCACTTAGAACACGACTTAATCCCTTAAGCCAAAACGTCCAATGCCCAAATCTAGTTCCAATACACACCTTAATGCATAAAGTCGTTAACTTTGAGCTTTTGCATGGCTCAATGGGTCCCAAATTCAACTTCTTACTTTACAACTTCAACAAAGAGGCTAATACACATGCATGGGTTGATATCAACTATCAAGATCACATTTTTATGCATTCAGGACACCTAAAACGTCCAGATCTAGTTTCCAAACTCTTGGGGAAAACTCAACCTCATAAAGACAAACCAAAGGGACCAAAATGTGCCAAAAACCACCCCAAACAAGATCTAACCAAGGAGATGCCAAGATGAGAGATTTTTTCCTTCAATAGGTTGCAAAAGATGAGAAACTTCTGGATCTACAAGCCCAATGATGATCCTTCAACAACCTTTAATCTCTTCCAAATGCTCAAGAACACCCCAAAATCACTCACAAGAGCTTAAGAACTCCAAGATGGTGGCTAGGGGTCGAGATTGGGGTTTAGGAGGTATGGAGGCTGATAAGAGGCAAGGTTCAAAGAATAAAAGAGGCTTAAATAGGGTCAAGAGCCTAAAATTAAGGTTTCTTAGCTGAAGGGAGTATGCCCCGCGTACCCCTTAGGACGCCCGGCATACTCAACATAAAGTCGCGATCCACTTACCAACTATGCCCCACGTACATGATGATTACGTCCTGTGTACGTGATGAGCCTCTACAAAACTTAAATTCATTTGACCATAACACCTTCGTTCTAAGTCCATTTTCGACGAACTTTATATCCACGGAAAAGTGACGAGAAGCCCTACACATTTATCAACACACCCTCGCCTAAAGACCTTCTGAACAAAAACCCAAAATTCATAAAGGCTCGAACTGCCAAATTACGATTATACCCTTGGGTTCTGAAACACTACTGAATCCTCTAATCTATAATACCCATCTCCAAAAAGGGCTAATTCTCTTCCCCTAAGGACCTAAGCCTTATGATAACCAATAATCGGTCCACGACCCTGAATAATGAAACGATTCTGTCACAACTAGCAAATTTGCTAGGAAATTCTATACTATTGTAAACAATATCAATGACAACAAATTGTAACCATAACTTGATATGCATATGATGTTATTCAATAACAGCAAACTTTCATCAAAAATCCAATTATAAAGCCCAAACTTCATGCAAAACATTACAAAAGTCAAGTTAGGGTTTGAAAACCCTAAGAATCCCGACCTAAGTCCATTTTGGACTAGGATTTCCTTATTGGGCTTAATGGGCCAATAAGCTTTCAATTCGATTGTTTTGGGCTTAGAACTCTTAATTGGGCTCTAATTGGATCCACATTCATAAAACCTAACCTTTTGGGCCATC